TTTTTGCTATATGTCTCATAGACTTGTCTCCTTTTATTTAAATCCATAATCAGCTTATCCAACGCAACTTTTAACGTGTCTCTTTAAATCTTTCTGCGCCGTATACTGAGAATTCACCTGTAGACTTATCTGAAAATTTTGGGATAATGCGTCTCTTGTTTATGTAATTGTAGTCTATTATTACACTAGTACTTAATTTTTTAGCTTTTTCGTCGTATTCCTGTAACATTTGATCTGATTGATGTCGTATGTTGCTCACAAAGTCTTTTAAAGAAACAATTAACTTGTTGCCTTCACAAATGTCTAAACCAGGGCTCTGTATTTTTTTATTAACTAAATGAAATCTCTCCAAAACTTCTTCCCAAAAGATAATCAAAATTGCAGTCTCGAGTTTCGCCATTTTATTGAATAAATTTCGTGCCTCTTTCCGGAAATCAACTTTCTCAACCTCATTTTCGCTGAAACTTTTGAAAATTTTCATAATGTCATCATAATTATTTTTTAAGGCTTTGACAGCATCATAGTGGCGAGGCCATCTTGTCTGGCTTAAACTTTTAACCTGAATTTTAATTTTATTTCACGATTCAACAGTTCCCACCTATGGGTCTATTGTTTTTCGCGGGGCCCTGGGCTGCAGCCCAAACAGCCCGTAGGTAGATCCGGCCCTGGTTATAGTTATAATCTGCTAAAAACACTACGAATAATTTTATTACGGTGGGAGTTTTTAGTAGAGATCCCACCCCCTGATCAGAAGCATCTTTCTCTCAAACAAAATCGAAGAAATTTTCTGAATTTTCGTGGCATTTTATTATAGTCTGCATGCCGGGCCGACAAACTTACTTGGCTATCGGAAAAAAGGAATACGGTTTCCCTTTTTTGCAGGCCGGCGCTCAACATCAGTTTTTTCACGTCCTCTCGCCAGTCGTAGTTGGAGTAGGTTTTCGTTAATTCGATTTGAAAACATGTATATTCCGATATGAAAGCGGACAGTCTCGTCAAACTTTGTCTCCCTAAAGGAAAGTATATGTTAAAAATAAATCCGAATAAATACAGACACTCTCAATGAAACAGACATAAATCTAAAAAGTGGAGAATGCTATTAGGGAAAGGAAACGATAGAAAACGTCTCTTTTATTAAAATAAAAAGTCGGGATTTTGTATTGAATTGTGTGGTACTACGTACCGGTGCACGGTGTAAGAATAGGATTTTACATTTTTGATAACAACTCTACAGGGTTCGGCAATAGTGCGTCGTGCATCTGTAGCTCCTATAACAAAAAACTTAGTAATTTTACATAAGTGCAGAGCAAAAGTATCATTACATGTATGAGGATGTATTTCAGGAAAATATTTTGACTTCCTAAGGTGGTTCCTCAAAAAACTGTGAGTGGATCGGGATGATTTTTTTTAAATGGGACACCCTATATATTATTTCATTTTTGCCTTCCTTTCAGACCATTTTGCATAATTCTAAGATATAAGTAAATATATTTTGAGAGTTTCAGAGATATTAATAAATAAATGAAAAATATATATTTTTCAGCTTTTCTTGAAAATAATTTTAAAAATACAAGAACTTGTTTTGGAATCAAAACTATAATTGATATTTACTTTAGATAGTCTGTACTTACTTTGCTATAAATATGGTAATCGCAAATCATACAGTATGTTCAAAATTCTAAATAAAAACACTACATCATCACATACACCAAAACACTTTTATTTTACACTGGACGCGCGTTTCGCTAACCATGTTAGCATCATCAGCAGATGATTATAAACTAAAATACAATCTACAATTGGAGCGTTTATATACTCGCTCAGTGGGCCCCGAGTGGGCGTGGCAAAATCTAGCCAACCGAGTCCGAGCCAACTGAGCGTAACAGTTAGATTTCCGCCACTAGAGTAGTAGGAACAAAGAACTTGAAGGAATTGGACCGTTGACTCTGTTCATACTATCTTTACATTTATTAATTCTGATGCTTTCATATGCATCTAATTGCCTGTAATTTGAGATTTGTTTAATTAATTTTAAATTATTAAGATCTAAATGTTCTTTAAATCTAGTTAATATCGATCTTCTAGTTTGCCGAACATATTTCTGATTACAATCTTTACAAGAAATTTCATAAATACCCGACCTTTCTAGTGGAGGTGTTTTATCTTTTGGATTACCTAATAATTGTTGTAATTTATTATTAGCACTATACACAAGGTTTAATTATTAGCACTATACAAGTATTATTAGCACTATACACCAAACCAAACACCATGTATTTTATTTTTTCAATAGATGAAGAATTAAAAAATGAACATTTCTTATATTGAGAGTATTTACAAATTTTTAACGGTTTCAGAGATATGCATCATTCATATGGCATTTTCCATAGTAAATTTTTATTAAAGCCACCCAATGCTTTTTGCCTTGTATTTTACCGTTGAAAATGCCATATGAAATAATACTGCGTATATCTGCGAAACCATTAAAAATTTTGAAATATTTTAAATACAAAAAATGTTTATTTTTTAATTCTTCATCTAATAAAAAAATAATATACAGTGTGTTCCATTTAAAAAAAAAACAAGAAAAATTATTTTATATTTTAGAAAGTTTGGCGTAGAATTTTGAACACCCTGTATGATTTAAGATTTCGATATTTGTAACAAAGTAAGTATAGACTAACTAAAGTAAATACCTAGTATAGTTTTGATTTCAGGCCTGTTCCTGTATTTGTAATAATTCTTTTAAGGAAGGTTGAAAAATATAGTATATTTTTCATTTATTAATATCTTTGAAACTATCAAAATATATTTACTTATATCTTAGGATTATATCAAGTGATCTCAAAGGAAGCCAAAAATGCAACAACATACAGGGTATTCCATTTAAAAAAAATCATCCCGATCGATCCACTCACACTTTTTTGAGCCACCCTATAGAAGTTAAAATATTTTCCTGAAGTACATCCTAGTACATACTTTATGCTTTAGGTTTGTACTAAAATTCCCAAGTTTTTTTTTTATTCTATGACAGACGCCGAGGGCACTATTAACTCGACCCTGTAGCTTTTTACACTGGCCCGGCACGGAAATTTTCCCCACTGTGAGATGAAATAAAATAAAAATAAATAACTAGAATCCTCCAGCGCACAAAA